ATATGTAGGAGGAGGCTAGCATAAGTTAGAAAATTTTGGTCAGATTTTTTCATTAGATTTATAGAGCTATTATCTTGAGCAAATCATCAGGAAGATGCAATGTAATGCAATAAAAAAACCATCAAGTCTGAAACTCCAGAGCCTCAGGTTTGATTTTAGTCTCATCCAGTGGGGAGGAAATACAATTTTAGGTTAGAAATGTAATCCTTCTATGTTAGAAAGTCATTGTTCGTTCGTAAATGATGACAGATCTTCTTTCAGACGGTCTTAGTGGATAACAAAGAAGAGCACCACAAACTGTTAGCACAAGAGTGTTATCTAAAGCCTGGAGCTCTGACAGTCAACCTAACTGAGTAGGAAGTGTTGTCTACTTGCTTCTCTTGGGATGAAGCTTGTGAGTATCTTTTTACAGAGCACAGTGACCCTCAACAGTGACTCTTAAATAGCTAGTGGTCACTTCAAGAATCTAGGAGTGCTTGCAGACAGAAAATGAGCACATGTGAAAAGTGCAAAATTCTAGTTCTAAGTGGCCTCAAACTACACAGGAAGCTGCTGCTTCTGGATCCCTGAAAGAAGATCCCTGAATGAACTTAACACCACGTGAACAAGGAGGGTTAGCCAACCCCCAACAAGCAGGCCTTGTAATCTCCAATAACCTGCTTCTTCATTTTTGCTCAATAGCATGAAGGAAAAGAACTTGATTATGAGAGCAAATCTAGTTTCACAAAGAAACTCACTCTTCTCTGATGGCATCCCCTCCTTAGCTTATAAAACCCCAACTCTCAGTAATCTCAGTGCCTAGCCAGCCTGCAGCTGGTATACAAGACTCCCACAGCTGCCACCCTCATTCAGGTGGTCCTGTGTTCTTGTCAGGTGAACCCCCAGAGCCATCTGTCACCCTCCCACACACACAGAGAGAGACACACACAAACAGACTGCCTACACAGTCCTTGTCCCTAATTTGACATCCACTCAATACAGTCAACATTCTGTCTTCACATTGCCTCAAGGTCCAATTGACTGGGGGAGTTTTTAAAAAAAAATTTTTTTTTACCCAGATGGCTTAAGACTGTCTAGTATAAACAATCTAAATGTTCCAGAATATTATGAAACTCTGGAATGGGAAAAATGGTCCTGGAGCACCTGTCTTTAGAAACATGTTTTTCAGGGAATGCCAGCTGCATTTCAGACCCAGTAAGTCCATCACACGTATTGATGCAGATTCCTGTCACTTTGCTTCCATCATATCTCCTCCTGTATCTTACTATTTGATGCCCTAGTTTATCTTTCCCTCTTATCCATCCTCCACCCTTGTCTATGCCCTAGCAACCACCACTATGCAGTTACTTCTGCAAGACTTCTTTGCTACTAGTTTATTGATGGGCTTAGCTAATGGGAGGTACAGGTTCATATCAGAGTAAGGGAAATTTCATTCCAGTCCTTCCCTGCTTTACTGCCATTACAGCAGTATCTACCTCCTTCAACAGAAGACTGTCAAGTGGTCTGTGCTCCAAAAACTCAGCTCTCCCCAGGCTCCACAATATTGGAACCCATCAGAACAGACAGTGGCAGTAGCTTCTTCCTGTGCCTCATGTATGTTCCATTTCCCTTCTCTTCCCACTGAGCATCCTTTGATGAACATCTCTGGTACCATCTCAGTCAGAGCCTGCATCTTGCCAGGACTCTAATGATAAAGTCATCTCTGACATCACCCTCTCGGGAATTAATATTCATTGATTTGCCTTCCCATATCAGACCGTGTTAAGTGCTTCCTCGACATGAACCCATCCACTTTCAACAGTAACTCCATAAGAAAAAAAAATGTGTTGTTTTACAGATGAGAAATCAGACTTCACAGTTTTAACTGTCTTACCTCAGAAAAATACAAGGAGCATACAGCCACATTGGGATGAGAACCCAGCTGCTTCCGCTTCCATGCCTATTATGACTGTTACTAGCAGTTCTTGATGCTACATGTCAGAGAAGCCTGAATTTTTGGCTAAAATTCCAGATCCTAAAATCTTATCCAAAGTGACTTGTAAAAGAAACCAACTCTATATGTGTTTCCTTTTTAGGTTTTCGAAGCAGGGTCCCACTATGCAGCACAAGCTGGTCAAAACGAAACAAACAAAAAAACAAACCAAAAAACCTAAAGCTATGTCCTCTTGCCTATGCAATTGCAGTGCTTGGACTATGCCTGTCCTAACTCTAAGGCTGTAAATGGCCCAGTGTCTATCCAGACTACATGGAAGATGGGCTGGCAGTGAAACAGGCCAGTGTGGGCAATTATAATTAGTGGAGCTAAACAAATTCTCCCTCTCCTTTCCAAAGTTGTGTGAAAGCCAATACAGATATTAGTGAAAAGCTAGAGGGACAAGAGAAAAGGGGAGTCCATAAAAAGGAGCAGGCATGGGGCTTTAATCAGTGAAGTACTTTCCATATAGACAGGAAGACCTGAGTTTGGCCCACCACTATCAATGTTAAATAGCCTGTCACAGAAGTATGAGCTTATAATCCCAGAGCTTTGGTCAGGTATCTTTTGGGTCCCAGGGTCCGTGAGAGACTCTGCCTCAAAACATAAAATATGAAGTAGACAGCAATCAAAAAGGACACTCAAAGCTGACTTCAGGCATCAGCATGTGGGCCCACACATGCACGGGTGTGTACACACACACAAGTCAACTTTATTTTTTGGGTGCAGCAAACATTTATTGATGGTATTTAAGAGAGTAGGGAGGGCTCCCTAGGCCCCTCCTGTTATTATGGGAATATGGGATGGAAATTGTGAGGGAGATGCTCAGTGTTGGGGACAGGGACTCCTCAACAACCAAGAGCCTCTTTCTTGCTCTCAGTGTCCTTGCTGGGATGGGTGGTCCAGGGTTTCTTATTCCTTGGAAGCCATGTAGGCCATGAGGTCCACAATCCTGTTGCTGTAGCCGTATTCATTGTCATACCAGGAAATGAGCTTTACAAAGTTGTCATTGAGAGCAATGCAAGCCCCAGCATCAAAGGTGGAAGAGTGGGAGTTGCTGTTGAAATCACAGAAGACAACCTGGTCCTCAGTGTTGTCTGTCCAGGATGCCCTTAAGTGGGCCCTCAGATGACTGCTTCACCACCTTCTTGATATCATCATACTTGGCATGTTTCTCCAGGTGGCATGTGAGATCCACAATGGATACGTTGGGGGTAGGAACATGGAAGGCCATGTCAGTGAGATTCCTGTTCAGCTCTGGGATGACCTTCCCCACAGCCTTGGTAGCACCAGTGGATGCAGGGATGATGTTCTGGGCAGCCCCATGGCCATCATGCCACAGCTTTCCAGAGGGGCCATCCACAGTCTTCTGAGTAGCAGTGGTGGCATGGACTGTGGTCATGAGCCCTTCTACGGTGGCAAAGTTGTCATGAATGACCTTGGCCAGGGGGGCTAAGCAGTTGGTGGTATAGGATGCATTGCTGATAACCTTGAACAAATTGTCATATTTCTCGTGGTTCATACCCATCACAAACATGGAGACATCAGCAGAAGGGTCAGAGATGATGACTCTTTTGGCCCCACCCTTCAAGTGGGCCCTGGTCTTCTCTATGGTGATGAAGATGCCAGTAGACTCCACGACATATTCAACACCAGCATCACCCCATTTGATGTTAACAGGATCTCGCTCCTGGAAGATGGCAATGGGCTTCCCATTGATGACAAGCTTCCCATTCTCAGCCTTGACTGTCCAGTTGAATTCGCCATGGGTGGAGTCGTACTGGAACATGTAGACCATGTAGTTGAGGTCAATGAAAGGGTCGTTGATGGCAACAATTTCCACACTGCCAGATGGAGGGCTGAAGGCAGCCCTGGTAACCAGGCACCCAATAAGGCCAAATCCATTCAAACCGACCTTCACCATTTTGTCTACGGGACAAGGCTGGCACTACACACGAAGATGTAGTGATCTCTGGTACAGGGAGGATCAGAGAGCCTACAAATCAACTTTTAAAAAGAAAAAAGCAGAAAAGCAGCTAGTGATGGAGCATGCCTTTGATCCCAGCACTAGGGAGGCAAAGGCAAGCATATCTCTAAGCACAAGGCCTGCCTGGTCTGTAGAGCAAGCTCTAGGATAGCCAGGGCTACATAGAGAGACCTTGTCTATAAATAAATAAATAAATAAATAAATAAATAAATAAATATAAAATGAAGTAGGCAGCTGGATGCCATGGTCACACTGACTGTCAGTAGTGACCAGAGACAGCAGTGACAGGCCAGTGTGCATCCTGAATGATGACTCTTGGCAATTTCTCTTCCTGTTTCCTGTCATCACCTCACCAGTGACTTCAGCAATTACTACACACGCTGTCTCTAAATTAGACTCATTCAACTGAGATAAGGAATTCAAAATGTGAATTTAGCTTCAGTAAGCTTACAAATGGGTTCCCGTTGTTTTCACTTAGATACAGAACCCTCCACTGTGGTCTACAGGTCTTTGCATAGCCTAGCCAGTATTCTTCTCTTCAGCTTCCATGAAAGCTACAGTCCATCAGTCACAGTGACCTTTGTGCTTCTCTGTTCTGACCACCACACAGGAGGTATCACAGTCTTGCCTCCAACACATACTACTTGCCCTTGCTTCTAGTTAACATCTACCCATTAAGTGCCACTTCCTGAAGGATGCTTCACCTGATGACTGACTGAACTCTTGGCTTACATAGGACAGCACCTTACAGCTACCACATTTTCAACACTTACGTAACTAATGTTAGTTATTCCAGTAAACACACTGAGACTAAGATTTGTGTCAAATCCTGATCATTGTCATATTATGTCCCCAGCACGTGGCCCACAAGTGGTACTCAAATGTTGATTAAACATATGATTCAACACCTACATACAATAACATTGGGAGAAAGTTTTTCAAGTGTCATTGTTCAGTTGCCATGTAATGAATGACAATAGTAACAGTGAGCGGGTGATTGTTGCTTAGGAAGGGCCGATGCACAACAGGAGAAGCAAGAGTATGGGAACCTGTATGCACAGCACCCGGGACCACACAATCCACTCCAGAGGAGAGTCCAATCCTTCTGAAGCCCCAGCATCCATTTTAGTACCTAGAGAAATGCCTAAAAGGTCAGTGATATTTGACTCTACTTTACAGGGTTTCAGTAAACTTGTAGATACAGTTCTGAACTATTTATATCCATAAGTTGGTAGCTGCAACATTGAAAACTTGGTGTCTATGGTCACCTAAATCCAGATTAAAGTTAAAATGGAGAAACAAAAGAAACAAACTTGAAGCTTTACCTCTGAACAAAGATCTTTGGTTGTCTCTTGATATGTATTTGCAAATTAAACTTGAGGCTGATTTCTACTGTACAGCATTGTCTTCAAAAGTATCTTTGATAGGAGAAACTTTCACATCATTCAAATGCGTAAACTGGGTCTAACAAGTGAAAAATGTTTCTTTTCATGGAATGCCATTTAGGATAGCAACTTTACTTCCAAAAACAGTATTGGAACACCTAACCAGAGTAAGGTATTCATTCTGCTGGGCAAGAGGTGGGATGTGTGGGGATAAGCTGTTGAGCTCTGGCTTGTCAGGGTCTTCGCTTTCTAATGGAGGAGACAGGAAATCAATCAGGGTGATAAAAACCAACTCGTACCATGTGGCAAGTGCACATTGTGAAAAGGGATAAAGATGGCACCCCCTCCATCCTAAGTGCACATTGTGAAAAGGGATAAAGATGGCACCTCCTCCATCCTGCAATGCATCTTTACGGTGCAGAGGTTTCAGAAAATCTGGAGGAACTCACAGAGAAAAGCCTAGGGGTCCTAACACATGGTAGAGCCAGGCAGGCAGTTCCTACAATGGAGAAAAGTAAAGCTTTCCCACCAAAAAGCAGTAATACCCCGTCACTTGATGCCAAGCCCAGGATTCCAATCCAAAATCCCTCTAAGGACATGTCAACAGTATTCCAGGCTGGCCATGCCCTGTTCTTTGTCTTTTCTACCTATTGGGGGGTTGGAGATGTGAAAATTGTGCAAATCATGATGTACTGCTTACAAAGCAGCTGTCTTCTTCTTGTCTCCCACAGGGCTACTTTCCACCTACTTCAGAAGCAGGTGAAATATTTCCCATATTCACCTCTGATACACAGTCCCCACTCACCTAGCCTTATGAGGCTCAAGACTCAGTAATCTTGGGTCCTAACCTTGGTCATCAACCTTACCTTTCCCCACCACCACCACCATCTCCTTTCTCTAAAAAATACATAGTTTCCAACTATGTATTTGCTTGAGTTCTTCCATCAAGCCATGATTTCTCTTACTTCAGGGACTCAGTACAGTGCTCCCTCTGCTGGAAGCATGCCTGCTCCTCTTTCACTGATTCACTAGGCTCCTTCCATTACCCTGAGTGTAGGAAGACAAGGTCATCCTTTCTCTTCATATGTATTTGTGTTGCCCAGTGAGGCATTACCTGTTTGATATCTGTCTCACCAGACTCTAAGCTGCAACATGTCTCTATCACCCGCTAATTCATCTCACTCCCAGATTAGGTAGGTAGACTGAATAGCTAGAGGAAATGCACTTAAAGCTTAGCACTCTATACTGTTGTATAAATAAGAATTTATTAATTTCATTTTTCATCTGAGTGGAGTTCCAGGTCTGTGACAGATTCACTCCATGCAATCATGTAGTGATAAAGAATGATGAAGTCCTTAGTATCTACAACAAGTGGCTTCCCAGTGCTAGGAAGTACTGTTGCCTTCCATCTTCCTGGGCACAGAGAAGCTCACAGTAAAGTGTTCTCCTTTGTTCCTTTCCCAGTTGAAGGAACTGAAGTCACAGGGCTACATAAGAACCAGGGATATGTGGATATGTAGGCCATGGCCAGCCATGGTCATGCACTTTTTTAGTGCATGGCAAGTACTTGCAAGGACATCTGTTGAAAACAATAATCTATTTAAATCATGCATTGCTTTATGCAGACGTCAGTGTCCAAACTTGAAAATCACTATGTTTCTTTTATTTTGTTGACAGTGTTTCAATATCTAAACAACTGGCTTCAATAAAAGGTAAGCCATGGAAGGGTTGACATGTATGTCTCTCCTCCATAACAGCAGGCCAAGAATTAAAATTAATGAGATCAAGAATGTCCAACATGTGAGAAATTTCTAGATAAAACATCAAACATTCATGAAATTCTTTTTCTTTCCATGCTATTTGGTCTTATGCTCTTTGTGTGTTTAGGGGTTAGAGATGTATGGTAAGTACACATATGTATTTAATACCAAGGTAATTGAGTATTAGGGGAATTGTTAGCCTGGGGAATATTGAACGGGACCTTAGGAACTGTCAGATCTGTCTATACTACCTGTATGTGCTTGGGCAGAAGATGTATGTTCAACAAGATGCCTCTTTTTTACTTGAAAAAGTAAGTTATATAAGAAAAATGTCTAACTTGACATGATTCTGACACCTCATGGAGTTAAGTGTGGTGATTCTATGATACTAATTTTGTAAGATATCACCAAATCCAGTGCTTAATGTGTACTGTCCCATGCTCTGGGGGAAAGAAAGAGGCAAACATAGAAAATGGCTCTGAAGTTGTCAATTCAGTTTAACAGACATATTGCATGTATTCTGAGACCCACGACATATCAGGGTCTGAGAAAGTTTCTAAAGAACTTAAGATGGTGTCACTCTTAACTTGGACCTGCCCTATCCCACATGGTACACACCAGATGTAGACAGCTACTGGGGCAGTGCTTAATTTGAATAGAAATTATAAAGCTGAAAAAATTCATAAATATAGGGTATAAAATCTCATGAACTTATTATTAACTACCTGTTGAAATCTTTAACATACTGAGTTGAGTAATACATTATTAAAATCAATTCTACTCATTTCTTCTTAGTCTTTTAATTTGTCTACAAGAATGTTTTAAATTACTATTGTGATTTGCAGTGCATTTCCTTGGGTAACACTGATCTAGGAGACAGGTGAGATAATACAAAGTTTCAAGAGTAAGAGTTAGTGAGATATGTTCAGGGGGTAAGAGAAGTACAACAAAGGGGCTTGTTGTATCCTCTGAGGGTTTAGGAAAGACTCCAGAAGAATAGTTTCCTGAAAAACAACTCTTAGAAGCCGTGAGCACTTGAGAAAGGAGCCAGCCTGGTTTTGTGACTTTGGATAAGTTATTTAATCTCTCTATGCCTCAGTTTCTTCATCTGTAAACTCGACCTACTTCAAAGGATTGACCCAAGCATTAAATGAGTTGAGTCACATCCTCTACCCAGGGAAGACCACTGCTGTGGTCTACTCTAAGAGGTCAGTGTTATTCTGAAGCCCAGATAAAATGCTTCAAGTTACATTCTTGTGAGAAGCATAGAATAGGAATGAACTATACATAGTTCAAAATTCACTGCAATGGGCTATGGAAAAGAAGAGGGTAACACAAAGCAGTCTCAAGAGCTGTTTTTCAGCCATACCCATGCTCAATTCCCAAAGAGAAGGCAGTCAATAAGAGCTGCCAAAACAACAGCCTTTGCTTTTCTAACCCTAGATGCTCCCTTAAAATATGCTTCTAATACTAATTCATGAGTCTGTACAAGGCAGAGAAAAAGTTAGGCAGCAACCTGCTGGGTTTATTAAGGGAAGAAACAAACTGTAAAGATGGGACATAAAAAGCCCTTAGAAAAATATCTTCCACATTGGTAGGACAAACAACGCTTTGCTCTCTCTTAATTTAAATATTTGCAGTTCTATTTTTACCATGAGCATATGCTTTTTTACAGTTGGGAGAAAAATGTGTGCTGTCTTTTAAGAGAGGTAGGATAAGAATGTGAAGTTGTGTAGTCCAGATGGAGTCCCATTCAGAGAACCAGACTTGAACTCCAATGGGGCTAGGAAATGTCTAGCTTCTACAATGAGCATGGGTGACCTTGCACAGACTTATTCCAAAATAGCTGGTCTTTCTGTCAGCTTTGCAGTTAGACAGGCTCTTCCATCTCTGATCAATGTGGTTTTACTATGCATAATCACTCCAAGATTAGCTTTCTAATATGTAAAACGAAGATACAAATAGTACCCACCCATGTGCGTGTGAGGAAGCATTAAATAAGATTATGTTGAAAGGCCCCTGAAACATATAACAAAGAAAAGTGCCCTTCACTATTAAGGAACTCACTCAGAGCCTGAGAATGACTCCTTCCTCACCAGGCAGGCATGTCTAGCAGAGTATCGCCAACTACTGTCCTCCAAGGTCAGTCTCAGACTCAGGAGAGAAGCTCACCCTACACTAGATCTAACAATTTTTGATTATTGATCAATAAAATGACCAGTCCAAATTAACCATGGATTTATTTCCTAAAAAATTAATGTGTTCCATTCAGTCAACCACTTCTTCAAAAGAAGACATTGTGCATAGAATTCATTCTTCAGCATCTTAAATTTGATGTCAAGATTATTTAAAATGAATAAAGTAACACAGTATGTATGTGTATATATGTGTGTGACAGACCAGGAGCAGTAAGAAATATGCCCATCCCCCAGTATTAAGTGAGCAGTAACATGCTAGACACTTCCTAGAAATGGAAGAAATTGGGGGATGAGATATCTAGGGATGGGGCAAGAAAGAGCTAAGAATCAAGAAACATTTCTCTGAGGCTGGTATCCCTGGAAGGTGGCATTTCAGATCAGGAAAAGCAGAAGTTACAAGCCAGAAGCACAAATTACAAGGACATACAATTAAGACTCTGAAAGCAAAATGGAGACTGAGGAGGAGGAAAGTAAAGTAAGTTTATGGCCGTTCACTTAAATTTTTGCAAGGCACAGTCCACAGCATTGCAGATTCAACTAGAAGCAAAGCAAGCAGACAATTGCCTGAGTGCATCAGCTCAGATTTTTGACATTTCCAATCCCAGCTCTCCCACTGACTGGTAACCTATCACCAGCCATGTCCTATCTTCTATTCACTGATGAAATTATAGTTTGAAGGAGAAACCAAATGCTTGCCAAAAACCTTCCAAACTGGTCTTTGGCGCAATTTGTATTAAACATTCCAGCAGGTTTCTGAAGACCAGCAAACTTAGTCTAAACTTTATTTGGGGGAGGGGGGAAGAGGCCCTAGAATAATCACAACAATATGGACAATGCATGAAGCAACAAGAACCACTCTCTGGATTGGTAAGACTTTGTTTACAGTTATGGTTACCAAGACAGGTCATTAAAGGTATAGAACAAAGACCCAAGAAACTGACCAGAGGTCTGAAAATGCACACAATGCACACATGCACTCTATGTCTCCCTTTCCCTCTCTCCCTTTCTCCCTTCTCTGTCTCTCTGTCTCTCTGTCTCTCTCTGTCTCTGTCTCTCTCTCTCTCTCTCTCTCTCTCTCTCTCTCTCTCTCTCTCTCT